TGGCCCCGCGGGCGGGCAGGCGCATCCCACTGGGAACGGGGCCGTGCCCGGCGCGGGAACCCCGCGGCGCTGGAGAAGGAGGCCGCGCCGAAACTCGCTGACGGAGGAGGACGGCAGCCAGGAGTTCGCCACTCGCAGCCGCTTCCTCTACTATCTGTTCAGCCTGGGCACGGAGCTGGGCAACGAGCTCTTCTACATCCTCTTTTTCCCTTTCTGCATCTGGAATGTGGACGCCTGGCTGGGCCGGAGGCTCATCATCATCTGGGTGTGGGTGATGTACCTGGGGCAGTGCACCAAGGATGTGATCCGCTGGCCGCGTCCTGCCTCGCCGCCCGTGGTGAAGCTGGAGGTCTTCTACAACTCCGAGTACAGCATGCCCTCCACCCACGCCATGTCGGGTACCGCCATCCCCCTGGCGCTCCTGCTGCTCAGCTACGGCCGCTGGCAGGTAATGCTCACACCTCCGTGTCCTCATCCGTGCGCTTGCCAACCCCGGGCTGTAAGGATGTGGCAGACCTGATTTCAGGAGGGGAGGTGGCTGAGTTTGGTTGGAAAATGTGAGATTCGTAGCTTTTTCCTTGCCTCACTCTTTTTTCCCCTCCGTGATTTAAGCGAGTGCTCAGGTAACGAGAAGTGTTCTAGTAATTCTGTCTTGTGAATGGAGGTTATGCTAGCTTTGGGGATTAGCTCAGCACGCATGAAAAGTTCGTGGTAACAATCTGCTTTTTGTTCCTGTCAGTTTTTTTCAGCTTGTCTATTTACGCAAAGTTTGGATAAGCATCCAGTGTTTTTACGGGCATTTTGTCTTACAGAGTGAGAGTTTGGTGGAGAGCCAGTAACTAAAGGGCTTCTTGTTGATCCTTCTTTGCTTCGAGTCACTTTGTAGCGTCAGAGTTGTAGCTTTAGCCTTTTCTTTAACGATTTTATTTTCATTAACCACAATCTGGAAATGATTCTGGTATTTGTACTTTCAGGGGGTTCTACAATCTATCAATTTGTTTATAATTAGCAGGAATTGATAATCTGTGATATTTTCAGCACCTTCATTCAGCAGAATCTCTAAAATCTGATTATTTTACTTGGGGTCAATAGATAAGTTAAAATAACACTGTTGATCGTCTGATTTACGCAAGCAGTGGCATGTGCTTTGGCGCTGGCTGCTGGAAGTATGGCAACAGCAGCAACTCCAAAGAAAGCACATCCAGCTCTAAATCACTGCACCACTTTCAGCAGTAACTGAGGGAGAAGGCTTTCGCAGATAAATATCCAGTGCAGCGTTTTTCTGTGTAATGTTTAAGTTAGGCAGTAATTCGACTCTTAAGTTGTTAACGTTTAGTAATCCTTACTATAATACTTGCCTGGTTTAAGTTGGATATAAGTCATGTCGGTAGAGAACTACCTCTGATTCTAACCTTCGTGCAGGGGCTTAACTCTTGACTTCCCAGTTACTGGTAACAATCACCAGCTGTCTGCGGGCGCTGCCTGACACTTTGTGTCTGTCTCGGCATGTAGAATGGGTGACTGAAAGGAGTGAGATGATTAAGGGTTAGAGATTTTATTTGGCCTCTCCAACCAAAGTTTACATATCTATTTCTGCATGTGCCCAAAAGGAGGCTCTTAGGATTCATATTTGCTAGGAAAAGGTGAAGTATTATCTGCTGGAGTTATGCAGGCATGATAATTACATATATATATATATAATATTGTCATGTTTTGTGAGTGTTTGAAACAAATATTTGAAGTTTTGCCACTGAGATGCTTAATTTCAAAGCTGTTTTTATTAAATCTGTATATTTGATTATTGCTTGTTAGATCTATAGGGCTGGTGTCATTTGGAAGAACAAACTGGATTTGTACTTCTCTGCATGTGGGAAAGCTCATTTAGCAGTACCAGTCGATCAGCTTTGCACAGACTGATGTCATGTGTGCAGAGGAGAGCCTGTCTTGATTGCCTTTATAGAACCAGAAAACAGGGTGTGAAATGGTGCTTTTGCCGATGAACCAAGTTTGATCTATGGTTTGCCAACCCTACCACTGCAGTCTGTGAAACACTGTGCTAATTGACTAAACATATTTACAGTGAATGGTAAGAAACCATAAACATTCAGCATTATTATTCATATAGGACTGTGCTTAAGAAATGAAGAAGCAAAGTGTTTGAGTCTTGATTTTAATTCCTTTTTCTTAGAAAGTGAGTATGAATAAAAGACCTCTCTGAAACCAACTTGTATCATTTAAAAATATTCATGTAAGAAAAAAATCCCTTCTGATTTTTAAATTATTTCCAAAAATCAATCAGTAATTAGCCAATGGCATGTCAAGTCAATCATGTTTTGATTAACCTATAGAGTTAACCTTTCATCTGACACTTCTTGTCTCCTCCCTATTTTACTTCTGTTGAAAGGGAGTAGAACCTATGTGACATCTTTTTGTCATGGAAAATGGTATTTCTCTGTAGATGCTGTTAAAAAAGACTGACCTCAGAAGTTCTTGGAAAGCTATTAAAGATAAAGGAGTTTTTAATATGATTGTTATTAAATTCTACAAATTTATCAGTAGATGCAGGTGGCTAGATTTAAACCTGTAAGCAAACTCTTTCTGTATATATTTAGTATAAAGAAGCCTTACACAGAGCCTCATTGTGATGAGACAGTATCTTGGGACTATTGGTTCAGCAAATCATTGTGGAGCTAGGCTGAGGATGACTTCAAGCAGATAGAGGTGTAACTCTCTGCAGAGACTTTTACTCTGCAGTACAGGCAGCTTTGAGTTTGTCACTTTGAAGTTTATACTAAACCAAAGAAAGCTGCTCTTGCTCTAAAAGATGTTACACCAGTGAGGAGGGAATCTCTTGTGTAGTTTATTTGCAGTTTGCTTTCAGTGATCTATGACTTCCTACTATTGTGTGATAGTTCTTTTCTATCAAAGGCAATCTACTTGGGTCTTTTTCTTGAAGAGCATAGAGAACAGAGAAAATGTGCTCCTATTTTTCTGGGTGTGACCCAGATTGTCCATTTAAAAACATGTTTGGCTTGCAGTAAGGTTTTTTATTAACCTGTTAAGTTTGTGCTTTTCGATTTTTCAATGCCTTTAAGCAATGGTATTCAAAAGGATTTTTGACTATAGAATTAAAATACTTTCTATAAATGTAAGTAAAATATTTTCAGAGATAATGTGTTTTAAAGATGGTTTTTGCAACTTATCACAATTAGAGACTTTGAGCATAGGAAATATTCAATTAAACTGTCTTTCAGACAGAAGAGAGTTACATATTAAGGTAGCTTTCATAATTGCTAACTGTTCTGTCCATTGTATCCATTTTTTTCAGTTTGTTCTTGTATTATGAAAGCTTACTTTAAACTTTTGATTTTCCTTGCCTAATCCATATTTATTTATTTCTTTATTTAATATGTTACATTTCTGCAGGGAGAGCCATTTATTTCAAAGACACTTCAGTAACCTTGAAATACAAGCTCATGTCAAAGACTAATGAAAATTTGGGAATGTTATAAATGTTGATTTTTATTTTTTTTTCTCTTGTCTTTGAAGTGCTGGTACCCTGAAAGAGGAGAGCAAGCACTTAAAAAACAGTGAGGTTATAGATCTTGATACAATGTAGGAAAAAGTAACCTTTTTCAAATTGGGGAAAACTTGCTTTCTTTGAAATAGTGACAGTTTGAGCCAGCCTGGCTTATATCATGTCCCAGATGGGAGGAGGAAGATACAGTGTGAACTGCTAATTATCTACAAAATCTCCAAAGGCTCAGGCTGAGACTACTGGAAAAAATATTTTTTATATTTTGATTATGTTGAACTGCTGATTTCAAATAGATGTCAAGATGTATTTTATTAGAAATGGTCCTTGATTTGGGATGGTACCTGCACGTGTCATAACTGCTGGCTTATTTTGAGGAGGAAAAAAAAATATCAGCCAGGGGATACAGAAAATTCACTTCTGTCTCAGAGTTCCTCCAGGAAGCAGCCTGGCTCTAGCAGTAGCTGTCTGCATTAGGAAATGATGGGCTTGCCCTCCTTCCTGAGCTCTGCATTAATGAGCTCAGTGAGGAACTGCTGACTCTCACTGTAGCCACTGAGCAAACTTTGGTTGATATTCAGCAGGAGCCCAGAGCCTGGGCTGATGAGTAGCAGGCCTTTAACTAAATTAACCAATGCTGATTTACCTTCTGAAGCAGCTTGTGGTACTGAATATGACAGCCTTGTCTTCCCTGGGAGTGTGTCTGGCAATGCCTGATGTGCAAAGCCTGTCATCAGTGGGTGCCTTTCCACCCTGCTGCTGCTAATGGTGACCTGGATAAACAGCACAGCTAAATTCACAGTAGGTGCATCTATTCTCCAATGGCCTCTCTGATGTATTTTTCATTTACAGTTTTCATTTACTCAGTGCTGTTTTGACTCTGTGGTACCGGTTGTGTAAGACTCTTATGTGGTACCACGTGAAACTCCCTTCCAGAAATCTTTCATCTGCACTGTGACTTTTATCAACCAAAGCTGGTGAATGTAATTAAATGAGATGGCTTTGACAGGATCTGTGTTGGGATTTTAGGGAGATCTCCATTGCTCTGTGGTTCTGATTGACCACTACTAAAGATTACCTCTAGAATTGTCTGCCTGCTCTTTCATTTCAAAAGACTAAATTGTCTGATTCCCACTAGAAATAGGAAATAATTGGTTACTGGGGATGAATAAACAGCCTAATCACAACAGTGCTGTAGTGAGAATTTTGCAGAAAGGGGCACATCCTAGTTTTAAATGTCCTTGGTGAAAGGCTTGCATTTCAGTAAGATTGATGTAATGATAAACTGGAAGCTGCACATAGAAAAAACCATCTCTTACATACAAAATCTGTGTGCAGGAACAAGTGCAGTCCCTCAGAAAGAGACACATCACTTCTCAGAGAAGCCCAAATGGGCTTTTGGCTAAACTACTAAAATATTGAGAAGAAATGTTGGCAAAGAGATGTGTACATGCTTGTCTAATTGGTCTTCTTGTACATGTTTCTTAACAGTCAAACAAAAACTCTTCTGACATGGAAAGCACGGCTGAAGGGATGATACGAAAACACAGAATTATGCACACAGTGATTTGAGAGAAAGAGATTGGAATTTGGAGGGTCAGCACTGGCCTTGTCTTGTGTGTTTGAGATGTAAGGTCTTCTGTGGGCCATATTAATGCCTGTAGTTTGTAAAGGAAGCTGAAAAAAGTTGTTTGATGAAGGTGTTCTTAAAATTTGAAAAGAGCACAGCCAGTTCTGACAAATGTCACTAGGGAATGTCTGCCAGAGGAATACAACAGCCTGTCTTATTAGACTGTGTTGACTGTCATTGAATAGATTTTTCAGTTTTGCCTAAGCAAATCTTTCATTAATGTAAAGGGTCTTGAGGGAAAACATGTAAAAACAAATGCTCTAAGGTTGGATACAGAGTTTTT